GATCCTCCGTCGCTTTCAGCGCTCCCAAAGTTGGTTTATCAAAGACCACTCCGCAGATATCAAGTTCACCAGACACAATCGCTGCGCCTGGATTACAAGCATCTCCACTCGGTCGACAATGCGTATACCCGCGCATTCATCACAATTTTCCTCGTCTAATTGGCAACCTGTTCTCAATTCGGCATTCGAGGCCGTGTCCAACGTTAAATAACTCTTTTCTTTTTCTTTAACTTGTACCTTTACACTCAGATTTTTCATCGCAGACAGAATGATACTGAGGCGTTAAAATTATTAAATAAACAATTCTTTTTAAGTGAATTTTTATAAAATTGTATAAAGAGCAGCTCGAAGTACAATAATTCAGAAGCTCACACAACCGCAACCTCGGGGCAAATCATTTATTAAAGCTATAGATGATTTTTCCGATACTTAGGGGCACATCTTCCCAACTTACATCCTCTCACCTCGGAGGCATAACATACAACTTTGTGACACGTGGGAAATCTTTGTTTTACAATTCAAGCCTTGAATGGACAAAAATATGCAGTCATGTAGCGCGGGGCAACCTCATATAACGATTTGTGCCGATGCAATCGACGTTAGCTCAAAATAAGATAATACGTGCCGGTCAAGACAATCAAACGCTACGAAAAAAGGGGTGCCACTCCTATTTGATATGCTGTCATATAAGAAGGTAAGGCGGAATGGCTTATAAGAAGCAATCGACAGACTAGGCCATATTTTGTGGAAGCTATAATTTCGACACTCTGGCAGCGCATAATTTTTTTCCGGCGCTTAGAACGTCACACATTTCTTGAAATCATGCTGTAAGTTATCTAAAACTATCGCCATTGGCAATAAATTTGCAGGAAAGTTTTTTGACCAGCGTGTAGTAACGTTTCCACGTCATTCTAGATCCCATAGTATACGGACAAATATGTTTACACATATATGTATTTATGATTGTAGCGCGTGCATGATGGAGAAAGCGGTCTAATGTCATTACTTGTCAATCGAAACATATTATGTGCAGAGCGATGTAACTGCTGCAGCATTAAGAAGTTAGCACGTTTAGCAGTGGATGGTGCAAATGTGCGATGCGCTCGTTGTTTGATGGGTGGAATCATGGATTAAAATTTACTTGTATGCATTTATAAAAAAGACTGTTCTATGGAAAGCTGAGATGATAGACCAAATGCATGACACTTTCCTAACGCATTATCGATATCAATCTATTTTGTTCGCGAAGAGTCATCGAAAGTATTCTACAATTCCTTTTGGTTGTGATGACAGTAGCCAAAAGTTATGCCTTGTCGCAAGACAGTTAATTGATTTGTAGGTACTTAGTAAGATATAATGTATCTTTTTCGGAGCCTTAGGTGATAAAAACGAGAACTGCCATGTTCAGAGAAGGCTTCTGCCAGCCATTACAATAAGAGGAGAGAGCTTTGCAACTGTATTCCGCAATGTTTGACGCAAACAAGCAAATTTACAGGAATTATATACCATCAAATCGGTTTTATCATTAAACGATAATCACGTATCTTACGTTATCATTCAACTGCTATTTCAAATTGTATTTCAGGATGTGCACTGCTTTCCTGAGATACTCAAATGCCAAATGAGAAGCGTAACGGTTGTTGAATGAAACATGATTTACCAAAACATCGAATATGGAAAACGTAAGTGCATGGTATGGAATCTGATCGATCAAAATTCAGACAAACTTGAGGATTTGATGCGAACAAGGAGATACACTATACAAATCGATAAAAAAGACCAGCACACTAAATGCGTGTTAGTTTAGCGAGCATAGCTAACATATTTGTGCGAAAAAGTACAAATTGAGGTCGAAGAACTTTCCACTCTAAACATCCACAAAAAGAGAGGTTCTGGAGATAATGGATGCAAATGACATGTATTTGGTACAAGCGCATAATTGATGATTAACTACGAAAATGTGACCGTATAAACCTTTTCATAGAGCAAAGTACCAGCAATAAAACGGCAAACATTGGCAATAGGTAGTTGCAAAGCCGCAATATGAATGACAATACGGGCAAGTCAGCAAGTATGGTGTGCATGCCAAATACCTGCAGGTGAATTATACTTGCCTTTCAATAAAGTTGAAGTAACTTAACTAGGCCACAACATTGAAGTACACATCTACAAAATTTGGTGCTAGGTGCATGCATGTAACTCCGAATCCCGTTCCGCTTAGTGAATCGACGGCATTGAAGGAACGCTTCTGACCGAATGTACTCTATACAATATGAAGTAGTAGTGCTGACTCAAAATACGCAAATGGATAACATTTGAACCGCACCTTGGATGCAGTGGAGCGTGGAGATTCGGTAATACTATTGCACACCACTATATTGCTTTGAAGCAAGTATTATATAAGATCGGTTGCAATAGCAAATTGGGATAAGGTATTCATGCGATAAAACAGGCGAAAACAAGAAAAAAACACGCGATATTTAGATCCAATGATTGCTAACGTACCGAAAAGTTGCCTTCCCGTCAGAAGGAAACTTCTTGTGCTGCAAAAAATATGAAGATACTGGTATAACATTTGATGATGAGGACGGATATATAGGCAAACGCTCCAAATTTTTTAGTGAAGAATCCTTATCGAGAATGAGCGAATTATTCACGAGCTTGTGATAGAGTTACGGATTTCTACAAAATAAGCAATAAGGTGCGAAAGAGTGAAATGATGACTGTCATTTTGGTCGCGGCACGATTAATCCGTATGTTTGATGGGATTTTGACATTCCAAGTGAGCACCAGAAATATTACAGAGAGGTCTGGTAATAAAGTATTTAGGTTAAGTGAAATGTTGTATATTGCTATTTCTTAGTTTGCCAGAACGTACTTCCAGTACTAAATGTCTACTAAATGATGAGAGTTGTACGCTCTTGCACCAAATCCTAACACCACAATGTACAAGAGCTGTGAATCCAGTAAGTATACCACATCTACAACGACTCGCTTGTGAGCAGGATAACGATTTTAGTTTCCGTAACTCGAAAATAGTCATTACCTGACAGCGCCAAATTGGGTCAAAACATATTTTGTTCTCAGTATGGGAACATATTGGGTCAAAATATGACAAATTGGGTCAAAACATAATTCGTTCCCAATATGAGAACATATTCATACGAGAAGACATAAGGTTCGTTTTCCGAGAGGAGAAATTAACTACGAATACGAATAGTTTGAAATACGGATCGTACGCTCTAGGTGAGGTAAGGGATAATCAGTCTGAAATAAATGCATCTGTGTTATGTTTCAAAACAGTCGGATCGAGCTCGCAGAAAAAATTGATGCGCAATTTGGATTTGGCATCGTGTGAAAAGCCTTGCAAAAAAATTTGTGACAGAGTATGCGGTGTACAGGGTCATGCGATGAAACAGTAATGATCCTATGTAAAGGTCATAAACGACTCATGGAAAATTAATCGAAAGGTCGGATACGTTGAGCGATCAAGATTTTAACAACACTAGCTTCACGTAGCTAATAAAATCTGTTAGAATAAAAGTATAAACAAAGTTAAATTTATCAATTGATCATAGATAAAAAACACGCATGGTTTAAACGCTTAATTGGGGTACGGGATACATGTAATGCAACCTAATCTGAAAGAGCTTGCAGAATTGACCAAGCGATGGCATTAATCTCAAGAGCGAATTTACAGCGTCGAGAGCTAGTCGGACTTGCACGCGGCAGCAAAAAGTACATGGAAGCTTTATCCAAGCGGTTCTATACGTAGGCATTCAAACTCGCTGTCGATACTAAAATGAAAGAAGAACCAGATTGAAATTAATCACACACTTAATCGAACACACAACAAGTATGTACATTTAAACGTCGGATAGTGCTTAGCTATCGATGCTGTCTCAGTAGTATCGATGCGAAATCATCATGCGAATTATAAGCTACTACATTAGATTAATTTATTTTTATCCTACTTTTCAGCCAGAATGGGAAGAAGGTAAGATCTATGGCAATGCTGGCAACGGCTCTAAAATGTATTCGTGAGACGTAGAAGTAGTCTCGTGATAGCATAGGGGCAACGGCCATCCTTCAGGTCGACAATCATATTTGTCAATGCAACGGTAGATAGAGCTTTTCGAATTCTGCGCTCTTCCATACTTTATTCGAGGGGCAGCTAACTAATGATGGACTCCGCGAACGACAGAAAGTGGGTAAAAAGAAGGGGTCGAAGTATATATGGCAACAAAATCTGTGAACGTCGTCACATGTGGACGTCACCATACTGTGATCGAGCAGCGATAAAATTTCGAAGATGATCAGCAAAAGAATAAAGCTACAATTCGATAGTAGAAGCATTCGCAATGAGAACTCACGGACAATGTGCACGACCCACAAGATGGATAAGTGCGCAAACTCTATCGATCAAGTACCTGAGTCGATAAGTTTTCTGCTCCCGTGCGAAAGCGTTACGAGCAGTCTTTATATCGACGAGCACAATAAGTTTAGCGGCAAAGTAATGGGTTGGTCCAGCTATTCGGGATGCGTTGTAGGACAGTTAGAATGAGCAGATTGCTATTTAGCAACGAGGCGATTAAAAAACGCAATCACCGGACCAATAATAGCACTCAATACAAAGGATTCTACTGCGATCAAGTTCACTCGAGAAGCAATCGATCAAAAGCAGCAGCTAAATGTGAAGTCGGTTTTGCTCCGCCGCCATCTTCATCAGATCAAGTGATGCATTACGTGTAAGTGTGGAGTGTATCTCTTGACATGGTTGCGGTAGACCACGCGTGGAACGTCAACGGGACGAATGTAAAAGGCTTTTACAGCGAAATAACACGAAAAAGCAATTTAGCGGCTTGTTTGGTAATAGCAGAACAAGATGTCGCACTTGTTTTTTCCGGAGTTATTGCGACTGTCATATTATTCTTATTAAGAGGAGCATCGATCACCAGAAGGGGTATATAACTCGAGAAGAGGTATCACTCCACGATCGATTAGGGCTGGGTGGCAGTTGCTGCTGCAAGGCGCTTGCGCGCTTCTGTTTCCACGAGCACATGGACCTGTACACATACACGAGGTGAGGGCAGGTCTTTGTACCTTTGCGATGGAGTACGTACCCGACGTTCTTCCATGTACTTGCTCTGAAGATAAAATCCATAATATGCTCCTGCCAAACCACCGCAAAGGGCGAAGACGGCACGACCGGTAGAACTGCCGCCGCCAACATTGACACCTCCTCCAGCCATTAGTTCTGCAGTTTGTAAAATAAGGTGCGCTATGGACCTTTTTTTGCAGATTAGGCCGAATAAAGTACCCAATAGGATCTCAACGTATCCGTACCAAATCGTACGATTTTATTAATTATACACAGCGAAACTATTCTTGCGAAACGAAAATTCTTACACTTGCTGGACTCTAGCTTTCTTTTTGCCCAGGAAGCAATTGTAGGTCGAGACCTACAATTCTCGCCATTGTGGCTTTTCATAAGGCAAGCAATTCTGATCAGCCAGTGGCCTGACAAAGGTTTGACTCTGTTCATCCACGATTTTGTTGTGCACAGCGTCGTTACATTCACACCTTTGCTCTACTTCAGCGCGTGACAACCTACATGATCAGGCCTCGTTGCCCTTGTCTTCTTTATCAAGTCAAATCTTTGAAATGAATGCAGAAGGGACGACGTTGGGTGCTTCTACATACTTAGCATCCGGTTGCTGTAATTGCTTCGTCCATTCCATCCGCAGGGGTAGATGCTACAACAGACAAAAACGTGTGTGTAGTCGAGAATGACGACTAAGGAAGGTATCGATACGTGAACAGTATCTCGAAGTTAGAATTCTAGCGTTTGCTTCAAACGAATTTTCCGCTTGCTCGCGACATTTGGTAATTCCATGAAACGACGGGTAAGATGTGGACATCCATTTGAATCCTGATGATGGTCGGACTGCTATGGAACCACTTATCGTGTGGATGATATCTGAGATACAAAATCAAATGGTCATTGTCCCGGTATCCTCTTCGACTCCTCAGCCGATCGTTTATTAGGCTTTGATTTTTTTCTACTAGTTAGTCAGGCAACTTTTTCCGATCAGTCGATTCTTTTCTATGCTGGTGAATACAATGATAAAGGGCCACGAAACCACCAAAACGAGCGCTCTCCAGAAAAGCACCGTCCAAACTACAGTCGCTTAAGTTGGCAAACGTGGGTTTAGGGAGAGGAGGTCTTAATGTGCGGTTCAGGAGCACGTACAACGAACAAACGCGAATAATCGTGGGGTTTGAATTTTACGTTGTCGTTGCGCATGTGATGCCCTTGTCTGTGACTCGAGTAAGCGCTAACACACAACGTGTACACTCAGACATGGTGACGTCTTTGTGTAATTGTCCGATGTACGTAGTAGCAGTGTGGTAGACTGCTTCCTGACGTGCCTTTGGCATTAGCGCACTTTACGAGTTTGATAACTTCTTGGTGTGTGTACTCGGATAGGCAAGCAATATTAATAGGAATGGTATACGCTAGAAACACGAAGTGCAACGAATAGTTGTGCTGCACTGTGCTACGTTGTTAAGACTTATTTGAGGGAACGGTAAATAATTAATGCGGAGTAAAGCGCAGCTACCTGTCAAGCACGTAAATGTCAAAAGACCCGCTAAGCTTGCCAAGCTTGATAATATGTACAGAGTTGGTAGCTTTTGATGTCGCACCATTGCACTATTCACTACAATTTGTTGAATGTTTCATCGTGCGAAAAGCAATAGTACATGCTGTAGCTACATGCATTCCACCCGCATTGGTTCTTGCATTGATGGATTCAGACGAAACACGTGAATGCACTATTCATCCAGGACAATTTGGCGCAGGTAATGCTACAAAAGCGTGAGATGGTTGGATTAGAGACAGCGCACGGTAGCCTCGCGTCAATACCCATAAGAAGAGACATTCGAGACATCAAAGAAGCCCCTTATACTATTGTAGACTGTGCTACAAAGCGATTCCAGGGATACATTGCACACTAGACGCATTGGTAATGAAGTCATTTGACTCTTGTCAGTCAGGCAGACGACGGTATCTTTTGCAGTTTGTGGATGAGTAAGGCTATGAAAACAACGATACATAAACTTGCACCAGCCGCGTTCAGAAAAATGAGTTAATCAAATTGGTAGCCCTACGCTGGATCGGCCGCCGTGCACGCTAGACGATAAAGTCATATACAACATGTGCCAAAGAATATTTCGTACAGCGCAGGAAAAATACTGTGGAGCTTGAGGTTGGCTCATGGGTGCGGAGAACTGTTGCGATTTGATAATTCTATTTTGTAAGCGCTCATCAGTCGGTTGAGTACATGCAATAAGATGCGGTACAAAAGCATCGAGGATCAACTAACTTTTTCAATGCACTGATATGAGCAGATAGACGTGACGGCGATGTAGCATACAGGCTAGTCATGTTCTGTTGCAACTTATCGAAGTCCTAGGGTACATGAACATTGTAGTTTAGGGTGAAGAGGTTTCATTTTTCTAATGCGGTAAAACGCTCGTTTCTTTCAAAGCTCGATCAATCCATAGCGGATTGGTGTTTCCAACGAGGCGATCCGTGTTCATGCATACGTACAACAGATTCTCATAATGGCTCAAGAGCAAGAATAGGGCTCGACTTCCTTACTTTTCGTACAATGAATCGATTTCAAGTAAAGCAAGAAGCAGTAGTACGTTTGTAAACGTTTTTTCTGTAAAACGAGCTCGCACACGTTCGAATCGCCGTAGAAAAAGACCTTGTTGTCATGAGCGTCAACGCTGTACGTCACATTGTCATCCTGCACTCAGATGCGATCAATTGTGATCAGGTGAGCAATTGAGCACGATATGGAAAGCGCGATTTTACATACCCAAATGCACTATTCGTGTTGCTTCGATTTACTTCATATTTGTGTCGGTAACGTGTGCCGCTATGAGAAATAATTGCATTTCTAGATGAGCGTACCGTGATAATGATTTCGAGCCAGCAAGGATATGGCTCTTTGCACCCACTGACCAACCAGGCACACGACATCTGTCGACAAGTAGACCAATCATGATCCACTGAGACTCACGCAAGTACTTTACGTATCCTACATTGATATGCACGCGAGAAAGGATCAGGACTGGATAAATGAGGCTGTACAAACGCTCAAGTTCACAGCTGCTCATAGCTTGCCTCCCTACGTTTGAGTTTCTTGGCTCTGATTAATGTAGCTTTCGCCTCTTTGCACTGTAGTTGTGCAATAAGGTGATCGAAAGGGAAATGTGCAATATGATGTCTTTCGGGGTCATATGTGGTGTATAGTCACAGCCAAGAACACAACGATGGCATACTTTCGTTCTTGTGATTACGGAATGTTTTTTTGAGATATCTCTTCCTAAATCAATGTCAAAAATTGCGTTCGTCAACCGGATCCAATAGACCATTTGAGGAAGAAAAAGATTCAAGACTTCAGAAAAAGCTGCATTAGCTTTATTGCGAGCCCGAAGGGTGAAGCTATCAGTGAGCGTGCGCAAGGTTAAATGCCGAGCTCGTACTTATCTGTCAATGTGTCTATAAATAACTCGGTTAGGTGTAATCTACACGTACTAACTACGATCTAGTTGAGTCCCTCGTTGGTCGATTCGCATGATAGGTATCACTCGTTGGCTAGGTCACTATTGTGATCCATGTACGTGATTGGCTTAAAATTGAATAAAGAATAATATGACCACATCAGCAAATGCTAGACGTTCATAGCACACGTCGATTGCGTTGCCCTACCATACTGTACTGGGTGAATATAGAAATGAACAGGATTTTACTCATTCTTCAGTCAGTGCTGTAATATAATGTTTGCAACTCGATTCAGTTCTCCGAACTGGATTACTTAAATCAAAGGGCGAGCTTCAGAGCTTGCTCCCCTATCTTATGGTGTAGTGTTACTTCGACTGCTTTTTAGGGTAAAATCTTCGTTCCTCTGTATTCAACCCGGTCGTGCGTCGGTATTTAATCGCAGCATCACGTTGTAGGCGAGGCAACGGCGACCTAATTTTAGAAGATCTCGTAAGCAACAACGAATCTGTCACTCGTCCGACACGTCGCGTCGCGAAGTTCTATTTATACCCCTGCCGCTAACATGCAGAGCAGTGCAGAGAGCCATCGCGTTTGAGGTCAAAGTATCCATTGATCTCTTGGCAGCGTCTATTCCAGAATTCAACGACTCTGCAACTTGCAAGTGTTTGGATCTGGCGCTGGTACGACACTTGCGTCTAATCAGATACTTTCCGTGAAGTTGTGGCAACGCTATCCATTTACAACCATACAGTGTACTGTCGGTTCAGCTGACAACTGACCTTGCGCGCAGACCTTCACGCTGCTACAACTTAACGACGCCTTCACCACTCTTATTCGCCCATGAGGCGATCCGTGGATCGTCAACGCTACCGTTTCACCATGTGTGACGAGGCTCGTACGCATAGCGCATTGGAAAAAGGCTATCGTGCAGACAAGATAAGCAGCGCAAGAACTAGTTCGATACAGATACGTATCCCCGCGGCCATTACATTGACAAGCAGACAGTGCGACGTCCTCATACCAGTCAGTTCTGCAATCGCCCCGGCCTTTCTCCTGAATCCGGATTTTCCACATAAAAGAGTCAGCTTTTCTGGATTCGAACTTTCTCCAATGTCAAGTGTCTGACAGCGCGCGATCGCTCTTTGTGGCCGTGCCGAGCGCTCTATCTAATCCAGGCGTCCGCCCGATTCGGAGCCTGCAATTACGTGGCGCACACACACTGAGTCCCCTCACCTTGTTGTGTCGCGCACAGTGCCGTGTCTCGGCTGTCCCGATGTCACTTCCGTTCGAGCCCATTGGCCGCCACCATCGTCGTGTTGCACGAGCAGCCAAGGATCGCACTTACCACGACCCACAACAAACACCCGACCCAACCCACCTGCCGACCCATCTCTATCCACCTCTTCGAGCAATCACAAGCAAAACCTCGAGCCATTAATTCGTCACGTTCCACCCACGTCGTCCCTCCTCCTCGTTCTACTGGCCTATACGCCATGGACTTCGCCTCGCCCAACGAGTCGGACGTGGACATGATGCACGACGACTCGATGCTCCACGTGAACCTCGCGGCCCAGTACAGCCACCACCACCACCACCAGCAGCAGCAGCAGCAGCAACACCACCACCAACATCGATCCCAGTCGTCTCAATCCCAGTCGTCCCAATCCCAGTCGTCCCAACCCCAGGCGTCCCACTTGCAACCTCCGTCCCAGCAGCGGTCGCTCCATCTCCACGGGTCCCTCCCCACTTCCGACCCGCACTCGGTCTTCCCCGGCGTCTACGTGCCTGGCCTCAACCACATGGACCCGCAGCCGCAACAGGGCGACGCCATGGAGGAGTACGCGCGGCTCATGGGCATTAAAGTGGAGAGCGACGACCCCCACGTCGTCCCCAACGGCAGCGCGTTCACGAACATGGCCAAGATCCAAGCGAACGCCGCGTACTTTGAGAACCTCATGAGCGCGCGCGACCGCAACGAGGCCATGGACGACGGTACCAACATCACGTCCATGACGCTGCCGGCGGGCATTGGCAGTGGCTTGAACGGCCAGTTTATGGCCGCCCCTGGAAGCGTCCTGGCGCCCACGCCCCCGCTCTTTAGTGCCACGTCCGAGCTGGCGTTCCAGGAGAGCAGTTCGCGGCTCTATGACCCGTCGTCGTCGGGCTTCTCGGGGCATACCGCGCCACTGCCGTTTCACAAGGGCCCTCAAGTCCGACCGAGTATGTTGCCGCCGGATCTCGTGGGCTCGCAGACGCTGCCGCCCGAGATCATCTCGGCTATGATCAAGAACAACCCGTCGCACAACTTTGACAACTTGAGTGAGGACGAGAAGCAGGCGCTGATCAAGGAGGAAAAGTCGCGGGAGCGCAATCGCGACCACTCGCGCAAGTCGCGGCTGCGTAAAAAGGAGTTTGTCGAGTCGCTCAAGCACGAAGTCGGACAGCTCCAAGTGTACCAGCAGATTTGCGAACAATGTATGGACTGCATTGCGCTCGTGGTGGCCGAGGCGTCGGCGGTTTTTCTCTACTCGAGTGCTGCCTACACGCGCGTGCTGGGATACCAGAACCACCAGATTGTGCCTGGTCAGACGAGCTTCTTGGACATGGTGCATCCGGTAAGCGGCAATTAGGGCGAGAGTGTGCTGTTCTGTGCAAGGTTGCTACGCTCTTGCTAATCTCTGTGTTGTCTGCATTGGCGATGTTACTTGTTGTTGTGGTTCTTAAGAGCAATGTGCAGGAAGTTCGCGCGGTGTTTACGAAGCTCAATACGCTTGGCGAGACCCACAGATGTATGTGTGAACCTTGAGCTGCACGCGATTGGATTATGTTGTTGGCGCTGTCGACTAATAGACAGCGTGTGTTGATGCGTGACGCGTGACGTGCTTGCAGTCAAGTTCCGGATAAAGTCAATGGATGGCGAGTACTTCAACGCGGAGACGTCGGCGCGCATGGCAGAGAAGGGTGTTGTGTGTTCGACGCGTGTGAACCGCGACATGTAAAGAGCCGACTCGATGCAGAAGCCTTTGAAGCAGCAAGACCGATGACGGCAAACGAAGTGCAATTGGACGCCACGTGATCAAGGAGAGCGCTGGACGCAGGGATTGAGACAAGGTCGTGGGTAAAGGCAGCCACAGTGAATGTTATGGTATTGTCCATGGCTGTCAAATACGCAACCGCGATGTATCGAAGTGTCGAGCAGAAGGGGGAGGAGCGGACTGGCAGCAAGTGCTTGGCAGAGGGGTATCGCATATAGTAGTGCAGTGAATGTTAATATACGACCGCAGTGAACGGCTGGTACATACACGTGAAAGAGGGGGATTATATGTGACAGGCGCCGCTTTACAGCCTTCCTTTTTTCTGTACAGCTTTTACCTTGAAGTTCGTTCGTCGTGTGAACTGTTCGCCGTTACAAGTCTTCAGCTTAAAGGGACTTGCGGCATAGAGAGCACTCCGGGTGAGTCTAAAAGACGCAGCAGAAAGGCCAAGTGGTTGTGTGGTTGTTTGATTCTTTGGTTGAGTGTGTGTTTGGCTGGTTGGTTGGTTGTGTTATAGGGACGAAAAGGGCACTGTCGCGCATAAGATGATGATGATTGCGTTTTTTGCACCATACGCGCGGATATCAGGACATAAGCAAGCGTTCAGTCATGGGACAATGGCTTCTGTCGCGATATATCAGAAGTGGAAAGAAAAGGAGTCGATGCTTGAGGTGAGAGCTCCTTCACGACGAGAGTTGTCTGAAGTAGTAACTTGCGCAGTAATTGGTAACTGATGGAGGCGAATGCTATCGAGGACATTTCAATCGCACTGGGTCTATATAGACCGTTTGCAAACGAGTCGAATCGTGCGTTTACGTCGCTAGAGACGTGGCAGCAACTATCGGCCTTGCTCGTGACGCAACCTCTTCGAATCAAGCCTCTAGGTTACTATCGGACTCCCCACAGTGTGGACATGTAAGAAACGAGTGTCTAAATCTTGACTTATTTTGTCGATTTTATGATAAATCGATGTTTTGCAGCTTGGTCATATTGGATAATCTGATGGCATTGACGATATGACGTGTTATATGTCACGTTTCCAGCTATGTCTTCGAGTGTATCATGAGCGACACCAGTGGCTCGCGACGCTACAGCTGGAAGATCTATCGTCGCTATCGACAATTTCAAAAGTACGTTTCGCATTCTGCCGAATTGAAAGCAAATCGTTTGGTGCAGATACCCCGTTTGTCACAAGGTCTAGTCAAGATATTTCACGAATGCAACTGCAAAACCCGTCTCGTGGAGCTCACCAACTGGCTTGAAGCAGTGGTGGAGAAGACACAGGATTATTATTCGCAATTGAAGCGGAGACAGGAGGCGCAGGACAGGGACAAATTGTGTGCTCTTCAACAGCGAAGCATGGCGCAAATGGTTGGAGAGAAAACTGCAAATATGCAGGTAAAAGCTCATCTCACTGCGAAGAGTCCGATTGTGCCTAGCACAAGTACTTTGAAGAAGTTGTCGGGAAAAAGCCCCATCATTCAGATACGCCAATCAAGTCGTTACGGTAGTTTGAAGGCGATTGAGGAACAGGGAGATCCGGCCTTGTACGTCCTGCGAGCGGACAATTCTGAGGCTCTACCAGTCATGATGCTGAGCTCTTTTCTCCTCGCTGGCGCAAACTGTCCTTTCCCGCACGTTTTTAAAGGTATGCCAATGTTTGCCTTGTCTTTAAACGAGCGAAACGTGCAACTTGAGCGAGAAGCACGGTCTGCTTATCCGTCGAGAATAAAGAATTCGACGAGGACTAGAGCGGGTCTGGGACTACGATTGACTCCAAGTCAGGAACAAGATGGACAATACTTGGGTGCAACGGTAGCAGGCTTTCTCCGAAACAAGAACGAACTAGACCCTGCACTGGCAGATATTCCCGTTGGAGCAAGACTCGTTCGAGTAAATGGCATCGATGTGAACGATGTACCGTTTGATCAAGTTCTAATTCAGCTACGAAGATTGGGTGCGTCGTCGTTGCGACTAAGATTTGTGTACGACCAGAACATCGATCGCCAAGGAATCAACGCAGCGACGTCACATAGCAATGCGAATGCTACGTCTGCTGTAGAGCCATTAAGCAGGGAGGAAAGCAGAGACCGTGATGATCGAAAGGAAAATTGCAAAGAGTGTACAACCCTCGGCCACGTTGATATTCGAGAAGTTTCTATGGATTCAGCTTGTCGTTGCTTCAGTGCAGATACCTCTCGTTCAAAGCTTGGTTTACTAGGTTTTGTCTTGGGCGATCTGTTTGGATGGGGGAGTAAAGTGAAAACAGCTTCAAATTTGAAGAGATCAGCGGACCCTGACGATATCAGTAAATTTAGCAAGCGGCGTGGGAGCACAGCAGACATCACATTGAGATCTGGGAATTCGTCGTTATGGATTGTGGATAAGCCAGTTCTTCGTTCGTGGGCTGAAATCAGCGAGAAATCACATGACGTTATTCTGCGTGGATTCTATTCTCCTTTGCCAGGAACAATGCGTCAAGACCTGCGCTTTAGGAATTGCACTGCGATAAAAGAAAACAAATTCATTTCAAAGCACGACCAAAGCGACAGCTGTAACGGAGAGAACAACAAATGGGTTGACAGATCCAATGCATTGACGGATTGTGAGGCACAAGGTGTGTGGAGCACCGCGTCTGGATCCATGGGGTTACTATTTGGTGCATGCCGAATCCATAATGAGGAAGCGGCGATGCTAAAGTTGCCACCTGTATATTTCTCCACGAAATCGGAGCACCGTGTCAGTGGAGAAGGCCTAGGCATGGGTTACATATTGACTGCAATTAACAACGAGAGCACGTTTGGCATTTCGTTTGCCGCTGTAATGAAGCGTTTGCGCTCAGCTTCACGCCCCACAAGTCTGTACTTCCGTTGGTATGAGGACTCGGGTCCATATCTGGACACAAATCTTGCAGAAAAACACGAAAGCAGCCTAAATCTGTCACGTGGCTCAAGCAAATCCCACACGAGAGCACCTGAAGCATTTGAAAGTTACTTGGACTGTATGGCAGAAGCCCAAAATGATTTGAGTAACAGCTTGCAGCTCGCTTTGATGGAGAACGCATCTCTTCGCGATGAGCTTGATGTTCTTCTTGGCGCCCACTGCAAGTTACGGCTTGCGTACGAGCGTGCAGCTCAGAGAGAACATATTTTGCAAGCCAAGATTGAGCAAAGCAACGATGTGATTGCTAAGCTGAACGAATACGTGGACGTTCAAAAGCAAGAGATAAAAAGCCTGCATTGTCGAGCGCACGAAGCAGAGACTATGCTTGCTTTGAAAAAAAGAGAGTTCAAGGTTATGGTGGAAGAGGCACGTGATAGCGCCAGGATACGACTTGCTAAACACGAGGAGCAACTAGTACAGGAGTCAAACCGGTCGATCAAGAATGCGAACAAACTTGCTAAACGTCGTGTCCAGAAGATGCTGGAAACAGCTGCAAATGAAATACAACGAAAGCATGAAGAGTACTTGCAAAGGCTTGCAGAGGAGCATTCAGACGAGTTGGAATGTCTTGCGCAGCAAGTGGCAGTGTGGCGTCACCAAGTGGAAGTGCTCACAGAGGCTGAAAGGCGAAACTACGCGGCATTGTTGAGCAAAGGCGTGAATCCATACGGGGGCCACCAGCGATCTCGTTGTAGTTACTCGAGTGCAGATTCGTCGTTTGTGTATCCCATGAGTGAGGGAATAAACAGCAACTATGCGTCACAAAGCACACAAGGGTCGACGCAGGTCTTAAGTGTAGATGACACAGTGCGTGATTGCAGTCCTGAGGATGACAGTATCAAGAACGTATGCGAACCTGCTACTTATACGCCAAACAAGGCGTTTGATGGTAACACTGGCACTTTTTGGGACCGTATGGCATCGCTATTGTCAACAGGATGATCTTAATAATCAGGTGTGGATAAAGGAGTCATCTTACCTGGACTAGCGTCATGAGTTTACGTGTCAGATTGATGGAATCGGCAACTGATCACTGCTTGACCCACTATGGCCTGATCGTCACAATTCAATTTTTTCTCTTGTTTTCGAACGATGGTGATAAGTTTCACAAAGCAGAGCACATCAGCTAAGTCACAACCACGTATTAATCGAAACCGCGTGAACGTATTGCAGAATTTGCTACATTGCTACTTATCTTGCATCATTGTTAAGCTCGACTATTTGTTCAACTCTGCTGGGTATCTGAGATAAATTCTGGTTAGCCGTGTTTGTATCAGTAGTCATTTAATCTCAATGAAAGGTTCTGATTCCACCTATGAGCTACGTGCGCAAAACATTCGACGTTGCGGCATCCGATATAGTGATACTGTGTCAACTGCTAGATCCATCGTGTTGGATATAGCTCCTTACACAGAAAGGTGGCAGAATCGCGGCAAAGTTTACTATATTTCTTAACAAGCTCAATGGCAAAGTAACCTTATTTACAGGAGAAGTGAGTTTGATACCACGGATTTCAAACTTTGCGACGAGGCAATGCATAGCAACCATGCGAATATAAAACGAAAGCTATAAACAGTATAAGTAACTCTTGAAGCCAAAACACAAAACTTATCGTAAGGTAGGGTCAAAACTGCAATGTGAGCCTCTTTAAAGTGGTTGCTTATGCCCTATTCGAAATCGCTGGCCGCTAATTAGCATTCTTGCACATTGCCAAAACGCACGAGACCGTGATCTCTGTACTTGCAATTAATATTGAACATAGAAATTGATACGATTGTAGTTGCTTCAACTTCGAACGCGACGATACAAGGTACTCGAACTTGGATGATAAATTGCAATGGACTCTATTTTAACAATCTACTCGACGATGGACAAACGATCAATACTGAGACGAGTTTTCGACCAGAAGTATGTCCTGCAATTTGCGTTGCTTGGCTTGGTGGTGCAATTGATAGTGTAACTGTGACCTCCGGAACACCAAAACGGACCATTAATTATCGATGTTTACTGCAGCCAGTGGCACTTGAGAATCCCGATGTTGCCTGCGATGTGCATGGGGATGTTCGTATCGCACATACCCAACTTTAGAATTTGAGTGTTTACTAGCATTTAAATCCTAGGCTGCACGTTCGTAAGAGGCGGACGCTGCAGAGACGAATGCAGATGCCTATTACAGGCAATACGTAACAGAAATGTAGGTCATCACAGCGGACAATAGCTAGCTCGCGGATATGGGGACAATTGTGTGCGATGACAAACGAGTCAGGCAGTATTGACTGCAAGTACGGAATTGCGGCTTGAGTCAGTAATTGCAGAAGCGGTTACATGTGTCTATTTGCAAGTATAACACGAGCTCCTGTGTCCGTAGCAGGCGTTGATACATGGCAACGTGTGTCTCCACGCATGGGTCGATTTCTTGCTAAGAAACGCGCGATTTACTTTGGAAGAAGACCGTGGAATCACATGTTGAGGTTGATTATAGTGAATCAAAATTTGATGTATATCATTTGCTTTTGCGAGGTGCCTCTCGTAGGGTTAAACTTGTTGCAGAAACTTGTCAGCAGACATATTGCGAAAGTACGACTCGTTGCAGTCCTGCCTCAGTACGTGCGCATATTTACACGGATGTCGCACAGTGATTCTCGAGATAAGTGAAACGACATCATTGACGATAATTCGCGACTCGTTAACATTGTCGCGGGTGCGTTTGACTGCAAGTGTTGGGTCGGACCCGGATACTAACCTCGAGGTACCCCACAAAGTTTGCTACGGTAACGTTGAAGGGTCACTGTCCGCTCAAGCTTTTGAATTGTATTAAGACTTTAAATCTCCACGATAGCGCGAGGGTCAACAACAAGCGTAGAAACTCAAACATAAGAAGCGACAACAAGAAGAAAAAACACAGCTTGTAGGAAAACGCTGATGGCGTCTTTGACCGATCACATTGTTTCCAATCCCTTCGACATCGTGAGATTGCAGTCTCACTCCTTCTAGGACGACGAGTGGAAAGCCGAAGCATCGGTATCGAATAATGGTGTTTCAGCAGGAGATCAATAAGAAGACACTGGACGACACGAAGTTCAAGCCGAGCTTGGTGCTCGCCAGAAAAGTACATTGGGCACACGCGCGAAACATATACAAGATCACGGACGCGTGACATGGGAAGTTAATCAAAGGTGCTATTTTGAAAAGGGCGCTAGCTTAATTGGATTGTCACGACGATGTTGTGGTCTGGCATCAGGGAATATCAATGTCATTGCACGACTTTTACATTACATTGCAGTGACTCGCAGGTTAGACAAGCTCAGAATAGAGACGTCGAACCGAGCGAGGCACGTAGACGGTATCTGAACAACGTTGTAACAGCTTCTGGGTCAGACTAATGCCGTATAATTGTTCAAATAGCGTTGGCACACAGACTTGCTCGATAAATGGACGGGGGGAAACTCATCTGTGACCACATCCTTCGTCTAATATATGTGACTGTACGCGATTCTTGCATCGCGTTAAGTGACGGGCCAAGTCAAGTTGAAATGAAACGTTGACACGAAATTTTTGCTTAATTGCGTTTTACTTTGCACCCGGTGAGAAGTTGCGCGCAGATAGGATTTTGCTTGCAATTATTGCTAGGATCGCATTCTGCAACATGCTAACAAAAAAGGTATCTCGCATCTAAAATTGTATATTTCTCTCGTATGCCCATCTTATTTAAACTTGTACAAACGAGCTGGTGCCAGAGCGGCTAGAATAGCAGTAAATGTGAAGCAATACCAGTAAATGCGAAAACATCGTCAAATCTGATTACATCGTGCACACGTGATATTAATGATCAGTTGGTGTGGCAGTATTGTCGTTTGTTTACGCTATTCCATAGCACAAGCTTTACACCCCATGTTCGCATGTACTTCACTATCGTTCTTTCATTCAGTGCATCTTAGCATTTCTAATCTAGGGCAAATTCCACATCCAATGATAAATGGTGGGGTCACCTCTTTTCAGCCAAGCTCATTGCATTTTTGTATCAGCGCCGAACATTTTTGAGGGTTTCTTAATCAGTATTGTTGCTTCATCAATGTCAGCCTTTGTTCAAAACCCAAGTGCTGCTGGTAAGTTGTTACGGCAGAGTGAAGGAGAACGTGCAAAATCAAAGTATGTACCATGACTTTTATACAAACAGGTCCTTGGGTTTTTTCTGGGTGACAATGCTGTAAAGCACCAGGGAGTCAATGAACATAAAATTGCCAAACTTATTTAATGTTCAACTAACGCGCGAAGTCACCTATCTTAGGACATGTATTGCTGAGTAATGATGTGTACAAAAACGCTGTGTATATTGTCCTAGCAAAACCACTATGAATTGAGAAGAAAGCCTGCGTACCGCCTGGTAGTTACGTGGATCAAGATTTGGGCAATCACTGTAAGGGTGTTACACGCAGTTGGGTACCTGGTACCCTGTGTCTTAGACGCACGGATGATATCCCACTGAAAGAGATATTTAACATCTTATCGGTTTGTAAGGGCTGATTGGTGTCAGCCACCAGATAGTAGAGATCTTAGTTGCACTAAATTAGGACATGACTGTCTAGATTAGGATTTAGATATTCTATCGGGTCAAGTGTCAATAAAATTCAGTTCCACTTTTGATCTTAAAGACAAGTGCCTTGCGAGGCGTCTTTATTCATTGATCACTGATCACTACGAGTTAGCAACATCTCCTTGAGGTAGCTAGTTATTTGTGAGAACCAAGCGCTGTCGATTCACTAAATCGTTTGGTCCCCTGGAACAAGGACCATAAACTTAACGCTTAGTGACTCATTGAGTCCAGTTCTTTAGAACTAAGTTACTCATTGAGCGTTAAGTCTTCCTTTGACTTAAGGAGCTGTGTGGCTCTGCTACACCTACGTTGTTAACGGCGCACAATTAAAACTTTTGGCTCAGCGAAAGTCCTAGACATAATTTTATTCTCTCGACCCTGTATAGTCCAATTATATCACGCTCACGACTTAAGATAACACCGCAATGATATCAATATCGGGTGTTTAATTTGAACAGGGAAAGAAATTTTTACAGTAGTATTCGTGATACTAGCAAAATAAAAGACTATCTAATCCTGATTACAGTATTTATTGGAACACAAATTTACGTACATATACAAACTCGATGAAAACGTTGAGATGCTGCGCATAAACACGCAAACGTACATGCAAATTAAAGTTATTCTTGTGTCTAATTGTAACGCGTTCACAATACTGCTGCTGGGGGTGTACGAATTGCATTAACACATTAAACTGTGTTAGCGACCAGCCTTTTTGACTGTGCAAGAATGTGAGTACAATAGACCGCACGGGTTGAAAATGATGCGAAGGAAGGTACAAGAAATTGGGACCGCTAAAGTTAATTAAATGCAATCAGAAGATTCGAATTAAGAGGGTACTTCCTTTTTAAAATATTACTTGTATTTACCCTGCTGTATTTCAATAAGTAGAACTGAGATTCAATTGTAGTTTCGGCGATTAAATGTATGTGTGGTGTGAAGGGAAGATGTCGCGACGCTGTATTCCTTTAAACTAATAACCTAAGCAGACCAAGTTAGAAGTCTGCATCAAACTTGAGTACCTTGAAAAAGTCTGTTTATCTATGGTGTTCACTTTAGCTTCAATGTCTTTATCAATTAATTACAAAACCCGCTGGGTTCTCGATTAAATTGATTTTTTTGGTGATATTGCTATATATGTTTATCAATATTATAACGACACCCAAAGTATTGACACAAGATTACCGATTCATCCTGTCCCAAAAAATAGGGAGCCAGTGTAGACACACACCTTCTTTAAAACATCCTATGGTTGTGTACATGTTGAAATTACGCCGTTTCATGCAGTCGTTTCATGTTGGGTTCATAGTGATGATTTCTGTGTCAGGGTGTTTCATGGTGTTGGCTA